GGATGGCCGCCGCGCCGTCCCCGTCCGCCCCGCGGGTGTCTCCGGGTATGTTTCCCCCCGCGACGGGTGTCACTGCGGATGTGGTCTGTGGGTATCCCCACGGCCGTCTGCCTCGACGTGGCCGTGTCCCCTTGGGCATCAGCGCAGCCATGGCCCCGTCCCTCCTGCATCTCACCGTGGCTTCCTCCTCGTGGGCGTCAGCACGGCCGTATCCCTCTCGCACACCTTGCTTGTGGCTCTGTCCCCATGGGCATCGCCGTGGCTGTGTCCCTCGCATGCACCTTGCCATGGCCGTGGCCCTCACGCAGCTCCCTGTGGCCGTGTCCCTGTAGGCATCGCCATGCCCATGTCCCTTGCGCGCACCTCACTGTGGCTGTGTCCCCCGTGGGCCTCGCCTTAGTCATGCCCCTCGCGCACATCTTGCCATGGCTGTGTCTCCATGGGTGTCACCGCAGCCGCGTTCCTCCCCATGGCTGTGTCCCCACAAGCTTCTTTGCAGCACTGTCCCGATGAGCCGTGCTGCAGCCATATGCCCCCTCAGGCATCCCCACATCTGTCACCCCCTGTGCCTTGTCACAGCCCCTGTGAGCCTTGCTGCTGCCGGCTCCTCTGTGTGCTTCACCACGGCCATGTCCTGCACTCGCACCACTGCGGTGGTGTCCCTTGTGGGCATCGTCACCCCCACGTCTGGGCACATGCCTCAGCACAGCCATGTCCTGGCTTCGCTCCTGCAGAGCCCGCAGGCAGCTCAGCTCTGAGGCCGGAGAGGAGTTTCTTGCCTCGTGCAAACCAGACAAGCTCTCCCAGGTCACCAAACCCTGGGGAGTCGGTGGTTCCCGGGGGACTCGGGGGCTCCTGTGCCCTCTGGAGCAGAGCGAGGACCTGCTCCCTCCTCTCCTCCCCACTTGTCGGGTCAGGATGGCGCTGCTGGAGATGTTGGGGGCTGCAGGACGTTATTTAGCCCTAATCCTTTTGAATTAAGACTCGATCCAGCACTTAACTGGACAGCCCCAGAGGGCAGGTGTGTACTAGAAAAGGCACATACCTTCCCAGCGTGCAGGCAGCTGCCTTCCCGAGTCAGCTCTTTTCTCGGGGTTATGAATATTGCCTTGACACAAGAAACAAACTGCACTTTCACGCCGATACGGCTGCACCCACGCTGGGAGTTACGCTGGTGCGTGGCGCTCTCCCTTTTATCCTTACTCGCACAAATACGCTCTGATCCGTATCACTGCACTATCAGAAGGGATTGTACAGATCCCGTAAAGGCTAAGAGGCGCTTGGAGTGGGTTTGCTTACTGTCCCCTGCGCTTCGATTTTCACTAGAAACGCATCCCTCTGAAAGGAGCAGGGTGTTTATGCAACTGTGCGATGTTTTCATTCTTTCCGATGAGCCCCAAGGAAGAGATGGACCCTTTCGGAGTCCCAGCGGTGGTGGCAGAGCGGGTAATCCTGCTGCTTAGCGTGTCCCAAGGCTAGCGGGGAAAGCTCCCAGCTACGAAGGGAAGAGATTGAAGGGGAAGCGCGATGTAAAGTCGAGCTTTTGCCGTGTTAAAAATTCCTGTTTATTTATAAAAATATCTGTATCGATAAATCTGAGCGAGGGCAAAAGTTTGCGTAGCCTGCTGCTTCTCCTCCTACAAACAGGCTTTCATTAGCATTCGCGGCACAGGCACAGCTCCTCTGAAACTTGGAAGGTCACGGCAGAGCAGCCTGTCATGCATACACAGTTGTGCCGGGAACCCGGCCACCCGTGGGACAGTTTATTTGTTCAACGGGGTGATGATGTGTGTGCCTGAAACTCGGGTGGGGGGAGAACAGGAGGACCTATGCAACAGGAGTGCTGGAAAATCACGATCGGGAAGGTGCCTGGCCCCGAGCCCAGCCGGTGTGCGCCGGGGCAGGGGGGGCTCCACTCCGGCTTTCGGCAAACTCTGGGTCAGCTTCAGCTCAGCACGGGAAAAATTTAAAAGCCCAGCGTAAGCATCACCTCCACTGAGCTTGACGGTGTATAAATATACCATTCAGCATCCTAGATAATTCTTGCCCTAAGTTAATTAGGGAAACACTTAACAGGCAACGAGATTTTTTTCTATAGAAGGCTGTTGGCAGGGAGACGCACAGCGGAGGGTTGGCCAGCGTCCCGCGCGAGGTCTTTCTGACAAACAAACTGTGGTGCGTGGTGTTCAGGAGCAGGCGCCAAGAGCTGGTTTGGGAAGATGTCCCTACTCTGAAAAACACTCGGGGCTGCTCTTGATTTTACACGACTTTGGTGAAAGCGAAGTGCTGTGCTGTGTGTAAGCGTCTTGCTTTGCCTCCCCAGCGCATTTACTACCTGTCCCTGGAGTTCTACATGGGCCGCACCCTGCAGAACACCATGGTGAACCTGGGCCTGCAGAACGCTTGCGACGAAGCCATTTACCAGGTGAAGTCTTGGGGTACCGGGGTCTCCCTGAGGAAGTGGCCAAACTTTTCCGTGTGGAGGGCTGAGTATCTGTTTCTCAGGGCTTCCTCCTAAGGATGTGTTATTTTGACCTGAAAAAAGTGAGGCTTGGCTCTCTGTTAGTGTTTTTCATCCCCCTAGACAAGACCACGGGGGGACCTTGAGGTTCCTTGAGAGCTGGAATATGGTTTTCTCAAACCACCGGTTTCATGTTTCACCTTACAGCAGCTTTCCAGTGTCTGAAGGGGCTCTACAGTAAAGCTGGAGAGGGATGTTTTAGCAAGGCATGTAGAGATAGGACAAAGGGGAATGGCTTTAAACTGGAAGAGGGTAGGTTTACATTAGATATCAGGGAGAAATTTTTCACCATGAGGGTGGTGAGGCACTGGCACAGGTTGCCCAGAGAAGTTGTGGAAGTCTGGAGGTGTTCAAGGCCAGGCTGGATGGGGCTTTGAGCAATCTGGTCTAGTGGGAGGTGTCCCTGCCCATGGCAGTGGGGTTGGAACTGGATGATCTTTAAGGT